CAAATGTTTTAATTTATGATTTTTTTTTGTATCAAACATAGAGGATATTTGAAAACTTAGCTTTAGAACCAAACGGGCCCGAATGAGTTGCTGAAAATGCAGTCCGTCGTCATCCTTGAGGAGAATCAATTTTGTTCTTAGTGTAATCTTGGCCCATTCACTTTAACGCAGAGCAGATTCTTGCTCCATAGGAATTATGTGGGCGCACATTTGAAGGTCTATCTCATGAATAGGTGTGGCGATGAGGGAGACCAGCAGCGACGTCAGCGCACAACATCGAGCTGTGATTGGCGAAGAGAACAGCAGGAAGTGAAACTGTAGCACCTTGGATTGGGATGAATTTCTTGATTTTTTTCCTACTAAAGTGATGTGAGAGATCAATAGAGGCTCTCAACGAAAGCACCAATGTTGGTCCAAAATAGGACGCTCGTAGGCTTTTAGGAAAGCTACGTACGACACTCAAGTGGGAATCAAGAAAGTAATATGAATAAAGAAAGTTGCAAAGGGGATTTGGTAGCCAGAAATAGCATATAGAAGTTGCCTCCTTAGTTTGAATTACAAAGTGCCTTTTATAGGCGTATACAATTCGTAACCGCTACCGATAATAATGTCTAATTAATTACAACATTAATACATAATTAAATACATAATTAAACGTGCATTAATTGCTTGACTGTTACTTTTCATGGCTGGCAGGTCGGCCAAACTGGCAGGCTCCCCGTTGGGATGGTAGGTAGGCTCTAGGTTGTGGACCTGTATCCACGGGTCCAAGTTCGGGGCTTGGGCCGATTAGGCTCTGGGCCTAGTCCCATAACTCCATCACTTTATATCTCTTGGCAGCCTTGAATCAGTTCATTGAAGTCCTGGGCAGTTTACTTCAACTGTGATCATATCCCTGCGAACGAAGCACCTCCTTAGCTCTCTAACACCGGACTTTCGTTTTCATCAAGAATATGATGGAGGGTCAATGGCTTTGCACAATATCCGTCACTCCTTGAATCATTGCTAGATTGCCCAAACCCCTAAAATTCTGACTAATCAAACTCATATTTGTGGCAAAAATAACCACCGGACACGAAGAAACAAGTCTCTGTCGGAAAGCTCTACTGGGAAAACCCTAGACTACGGTCGCCATGTAATTAACTTAGGCAGTGTTTGCAAATGCTTTTGCTTTAAAAAAACACTTTTTGAAGTGTTTTGGAAAAAGTGATTAGTATGAAAAGTTGATAGTGTTTAGTAAAATAAATAAAAAACACTTTTCACTCAAAAACCGAGAAACGCTTTTTTAAGTAGAAGTTTTCATTTAAAAACACTAATTTTAGTTTTTTAAAACGAAAAGCCAAGAAGCGCTTTTTTTTAGGTATTGCAAATAGACCCTTAGTATGGAGTACCCGGCCTAACTACAGAGTTAGGAGGCGTCCTAATAAATTAATTCTAATTTTTTTTAGACTTCAAGGGCAAATTTGTAAAGTTAATAATTTAAATATTTATTAGGATATTTTTACTTGGACTGTAATTTGTTGGTCTAGTCTAGTCTGATCTGGTCTGAACTGGTCTGGTCTGGTCTGATTTCTTTGTATTTTTATAACTATCCAAGTCTGGTCTAGTCTGAATTGGACTGGTCTGGTGTGATCTGGGAGGAATTACAATCCAAGTAAAAACATCCTTAATTTTACGTGGGAGACGTAAAAGAGGTTGTGAATAGAATTGCATCCCTGTTATACATATATGAATCTAAAAATTGTGGAGTTTATAGCACGACCTAAATCAATCAAAAATCGAAAATGTTATTCTTTATGTTAACTCAATATAGTATCCTTATTTATTCATTCACAAGTATCTCAAAAATAATCATTAAGTAATTTTTTAGGTGACAACTCCGGAACTCATTTAAAAAATGGGATACCGTACCTACCACTCACTTGATTGGTTCAAATCATTACATCATTTTTAATTTAGATTTAAATAATTCAACTACATCATTCTTATTGGTCCATGTGGGCAAAGGTATGGTACCTTAAGGGTACCATAGAATCTACCAATTTTTTATTTGGATTAATTAAAAATGTGCGTGATTGGTGGACTATTATCTGTAACATTATACTATCACTCTTCCTTAAAATTAGTCAAATTTAACTTTTTAAGTCATGGTAAACATGATCAAAAAAGAGTCATGGTAAACTTTCCTTTAAAAAATACTTTATGATAAACTTTGACTATTCAATTCGACTTATATTTTTCTAGGAAAATTATAAGTTTTACACTATTAAATACATCACTGATAAAAAATATCATTGACCAAAAAATTTAAAGGGGATAAAGTCTTGAGGGATTGAAAAAAGTATTTGATTTGTATGGTAAGTAATATTATCTGAAAGTACATATTAGATTCTAGGCGGGGTGTCCTCAATTCGGATTCTGGAGGATTTTAATGGAGTTTAGAATTCCGTCAGAATTCAGGTGTCCGCGATTTGGATTTCGGTGGAATCCATGAAAATAAGGGTGTCCTCAAACATTTCGTGAATTTATGTTGGAGAGAATTCTCCAAATAGGAGTAAAACTTAGGCAAAATGCAAAAATATGAGTATCATGTTTTGAATAGGAGTAACTTTAGTGTTTGGACAAGTATACCCTACCCAAGCCCCAACAACTTTAATTAATAATTAAAACATAAAAGAAATACTCCATATGATTAATTAATTTATAATAAAATTGTAAAAAACAAAAAAAAAACACAAAAAATATCAAATAAAATATACTCCGTAATAAATAGAATAAAAAATTATGAAAATAAAAAACTAAAAAATAAAAAACCAAAATAAATTCTAAAAAAATAAAAAACGAAAAAAATATATAAAAAAAATGTAGACGTTTGCCGCCGCCTCAACAACCTCCCAGCACAACCAGCTCCAACCACCGAAAGAAATGCCAACATTTTCCCGAAATGCCATCAAGATGGCAGATTTTGAGAAATTTTTGGCATTTTCAAAGAGTAAAACTGCCATCTTTATGGCATTTTCAAAGAAAAATGACAGTTTTTACATAAAATGGCATTTTTTCGCCGATCAGATGTGACATTGCTAGGTGATGACTGAGGCTGCGGGAAAGGCTTGCATAATTTTTTTATTTTTTAATACAGTTTATCTATATTTTATTTATTTTTAAATATTTTTATTTTTACAAAAATAACTTTTTAATTTTTCATATTTTAATATTGATGGGATGCATAAAGGTATCGTTTCCAATGAATGAACTTAGATTTTTTTACACAAGATCAAATAAGTCATATTTTAGAATTAACTAGGTTAGGGATATTAAGGGTTCAAAATTAATGTTTACTCCTATTGAAGGAAGTTTTAAGTTTTACTCTATTTGTATAATTATGTTTATGTTTACTCCTATATTGGACAATTTCTCTTTATGATGTTACTTATTTTCATGGATTTTAATGGATTTCGATGAATTTCTATATACAAAAACAATTCATCACAATCTTGTAGACTCCCCTCGGATTTCATCAAAATCAATGATCTTTTAAAATCCATCAAAGTCATAATCAGAGACACCTCCTTGGTATTGATTTACTCCCTCTACCCCGTATAATCTTCCAACTTACAATTTTGGGATATCCCAATTTTTTTTATCATTTATGATTCTTGAAAAATTTGTGTAGTTAACATTCACTTACTTTTTTCTTATTCAATTACAGTCATACATTTTTACTTTATTTTTAGGTATGTTAAGTCAAAGTGGAAGTATTTTTTGGAACTAATGGAGTACTTTTCAAATTAATGATGGTAAAATTTGTCAATTTATTTCGATTTATGCGTAATATACTTTGGTAGGAGTTATAAGTTTTACTCCTATGTCTTAGAGTATTGCATGGAACACCGAATATCCAAGCGTTAGAGTCACCGCTGATAGGAGAATTTAACATCTCTATCGGTCACTTGCAGGGTGTTAACGCCCCCTCAACAAGAATTCTTTTAGGATATATATATATGAAAAATAATTTTCTCCCACCGAAAAAATATTTTGAACCCCATAAAAAATATTTTCTCTCCCAATATGATTTTCCTGGATCCGCCCATAGGACCAGAATATGCCATTATTTCTATGCAGCTTGACGGCACTAAATTTATTTTTTCAAACATTCAACAGAAACATATGAAAATGGTCCCCATGGCCATGGCCCATACTGACTTTTTTTATCAACCATGTCGACAATGATTTTAATTCTTATGTTTGTACAATTTATTATATATTCTATGCTTTTATGAAAATAATTTAAATAAGGAACATTTTCATATAACTCTCGTATTCAAATTAATTTTGTATTAAAAAATATCATTGACTAAAGTTGATTGTCTTAATCAAGAAATGTTAATTCGGCAAACCTTTTCCGAACGCAAAGAGTACACACAGAAACATCGTTTTGAAAAGGTAGGACCATTATATATATATATATATATATATATATATATATATATATATATATATATATATATATATATATATATATATATATATATTCGAATGTCTTAGGTTGTTTTTATTTGGACTGTAATTTGTCCCAGACAAGACTAGACCAGACCAGACCAAAACGGACCAGATCAGACCAGACTAAAACAGACCAGACCAGACCATATTTTATTATTATTATTATTATTATTATTATTATCATTATTATTAGTAGTATTATTAGTATTATTATTATTGTTATTATTGTTATTATTATTAGTAGTATTATTACTATTATTAATATTATTATGGTTATTTTTACTATTATTACTATTATACTATTATTACTATTATTATTACTATTACTATTATTATTATTATTATTATTATTATTGTTGTTATTATTATTATTATTATTACTATTATTACTATTATTATAATTATTACTATTACTATTACTATTATTACTATTGTTATTGTTATTATTGTTATTATTAGTAGTAGTATTATTACTATTATTACTATTATTATTACTATTACTATTATTATTATTATTGTTATTATTGGTAGTAGTAGTATTACTATTATTACTATTATTATTACTACTATTATTATTATATAATATATATATATATAATAAAATATTTATGCAAAAAATATAAAAAATAAAATTTCAGACCAGACCAAAACAGACCAGACCAAACCAGACCTGACCAGACCAGCAAATTACAGTCCAAAGTAAAAACATCCTGACAACACTAAAGTTGCGGAACTTGGACTAATAAGGAGACGGTATGTAAGCTCCTTGTCACGACCGTTGCTTAATCTAAGATGGATATTTCATGGAAAGGCCGTGGATGGAACTTCAGCAAGTAATATTTGTTTCGAGTTTTGTCCATTATTAATTGTTAACTAGTATTATACGATAGTATATATATACTCGTGTGATGCATTGTACAAAGTGTTTTTTGTCAATTAATTATGATATACTCCATAATACATACGTAGTATTGAAATATGATCTGAATGTATAAGATGTACTCCCTTAGTTCCAAAAACAACTTCTCACTTTCCTTAAATGGATGTCCCAAAATTAACTTTACACTTCTTCCCACATTCTTATTTGGCAAATTATCTACATCAAAACAGTGTTAAATAGTGCCAAACAGTGCTAAATAGTGTTCAAACACTGTCCAAACAGTAAAATTTACCCCCCAGTAAGTTTATTTCCTTAATATGTGTGCTAGTCAAACTGTGAAGTTGTTTTTGGGACGAAGGGAGTATTTAAGGTTTGCATGATAAAATGTGAGAGCATTCCCTAAATAAGAGTAAAACATAGGCAAAATGCAAAAATAGGAGTACTATGTTTTGAATAGGAGTAACTTTAATGTTTGGACAAGTATACCCCTACTCAAGCCCCAATCACTTTAATTAATAAATAAAACATAAAAGAAATACTCTGTAAGATTAATTAATTTATAATAAAATTGTAAAAAAACAAAAAAACACAAAAAAATATCAAATAAAATATACTCCATATTAAATAGAATAAAAATTATTAAAATAAAAAAATAAAAATAAAAATCTAAAAAAATTTAAAAAAAATGAAAAAATATAAAAAAAATATGTAGGCGTCTGCTGCCGCCTCAACAACCTCCCAGCACCACCAGCTCTGACCACCGAAAAAAATGCCAACATTTTCCCGAAATGCCATCAAGATGGCAGATTTTGAGATAATTTGGCATTTTCAAATAATAAAAGTGCCATCTTTATGGCATTTTCAAAGAAAAATGACAGTTTTTACATAAAATGACAGTTTTTTCGCCGATCAGAGGTGACATTGCTGGGTGATGACCGAGGCTGCTAGAAAGGCCTGTATAATTTTTTTATATTTTTTAATACAGTTTATCTATTTTTTTATTTTTAAAGTTTTTTATTTTTTCAAAAATAACTTTTTTAATTTTTAATATTTTAATATTGATGGGATGAACTTAGATTATTTTTAAAATTAAATGGCCTGCATAAAGGTATCGTTTCTAGTTAATGAACTTAGATTTTTTTAATAGGATCAAATAAGTCATATTTTAGAATTAACTAGGTTAGGGATATTAAGGGTACAAAATTAATGTTTACTCCTATTGAAGGAAGTTTTAAGTTTTACCCCTATTTATGCAATTATGTTTATGTTTACTCCTATATTGGGCAATTTCTCATAAAATGTCTATTTTTGGTTTATCAGACGTTTTTTGTTAAACACATAATTTTGTGTCTCGCACGCTTAATTGTTCAATAATCAAAATAAATAAAGTCAAAATTATTTTTCTTGCTGAATTGACTAAAATTGATGAAGCTATTTTCATATAATACTTTATTTATTTTATACAACAACAACAACAACCAAGCCTTAATCCCAAAAGAATTTGGGGTCGGCTAACATGAATCGATCAATGATATCAATGCCAAACAGAGAAGATGGAAAAGAAAGGGAAGAAAAAAGGAAGATAAAATGAATAAAATAAAGATAAATAAAAGATAACAATAACACAAGAATATAAAAAAGATAAAAGATAAAAAAAAGAGCATAAAAAAGCTAGAATATAAAAATAACATAAGAATAAAAAAAGGTAAGGAAGATAAATGATAAAATAAAAAAGAGAGGAAAGGTAGAAAAGACATCAGTCGTCCACACGGATGTGCGTCCTCCACTTTGCTCTCTCCAAAGCCATACTCTCATCCAACTCAAGGAGACGCATATCAGTTCTGATTCCTCTAATTCAAGTCTGTTTTGGTCTTCCTCTCCATCTCTTCTCTGTCTCTTCTCCCCACCCCTCAAGTCGTCTAACAGGTGCATCACTCGGTCTTCTACGCACATATCCAAACCACCACAAACGAGACTCCTACATCTTATCTTTTATAGGTGCTACTCCCACCTTTTGTATGATTATCTCATTCCTCAAACGGTCTTTTGTTCTATGTCCACACATCCAACGCAACATACGCATCTCTGCCACACTCATCTTTTGAATGTGGCATTACTTCACCGCCCAACACTCCACGCCATACATTAATGCAGGCATAATTGCTGTTCGATAAAACTTACCCTTCAGTCTAGTTGGCATACCTCGATCGCATAGAAATTCTGAAGCACTCTTCCATTTCATCCACCCACCTTTGATTCTATGGCATACATCTCCATCTAATTCACCATCTTTCTGAATTATGGAACCCAAGTAACGAAACACATCACACACCGGTATCTCCTTACCATCAAGAGTAATCCCACTGTTGTTACTACTTCTACCTTCACCAAACTTGCACTCCATATACTCAGTCTTGCTTCAGCTCAGTCTGAAACCCTTGTTCTCCAATGTCTGTCGCCATACTTCCAACTTTGCTTTAACACCGGGTTGTGTCTCATCAATCAATACAATATCGTCGGCAAACATCAGACACCACGGTATGTCTTCTTGAATTAACTTCGTAAGTTCATCCATGACTTTAGCAAATAAGAAAGGACTCAGAGCAGATCCTTGGTGCACTCCAATAGTAATAGGGAACTCTGCGGTCCTCCCTACACTAGTGCGGACACTTGTAGTACAAGCATCATACATATCCATGATGATACTGATATACTTACGTGATATGCCTTTTCTAGTTATGGCCCACCACAGGACTTCTCGAGGTACCCTATCATATGCCTTTTCTATGTCAATGAACACCAAATGCAGATCCTTTTTAGTGTCTCTATACTTCTCCATAACTTGTCTAAGATGATGAATGACCTCAGTTGTTGAGCGTCCAGGCATAAAACCAAATTGATTTTCCGAAATTTTCACATTCTTACGAAGTCTTTGCTCAACCACTCGTTCCCAAAGTTTCATGGTGTGACTCATAAGCTTAATCCCTCGATAGTTAGCACATTCTTGTACATCACCCTTATTTTTAAATAAGGGAGTGAGAGTACTCTTCCGCCAACTCACTGACATTTTGTTGTTTCTCCAAATCATGTTGAAGAAACATGTTAGCCACTCGATGCCTTTCTCTCCCAAACTTCTCCAAGCCTCGATCGGTATGTCATCTGGGCCCACTGCTTTCTTCCTCCCCATTTTTCTCATAGCCTCTTTAACTTGTATTGTTTGAATCCTTCTCACGAAGTCTCGATTTACCATACACTCTGGTATAGTAAGATCATCAATACCTTGCACTTTATTTATTTTATAAATAAAATATATTTATTTCCATTTAAACCACTTCAGTCAGAATTTCACCAATTTCTACGGAAGATAGAAATTACAGTACTAAAGTTTTATATTATATTTGACCAATATAACTTTTTCTTCCATTTAAAGTTATTGAATTATAATTTGGAAGAAGGCTAAAGGGTCAAATAGGTCCCTGTACTCATATCAATAGCTCAATTGGGTACCCGAACTAAAAAAAGGTCCAATCCAATCCTCCAACTCTTCAAAATCGTTCAATTTTTTCGTTTTTTCAAAGGCTAAAGGGTCAAATAGGTCCCTGTACTCATATCAATAGCTCAATTGAGTACCGGGAGTTTACCGGCTAAACGAAAAAATTGAACGATTTTGAAGAGTTGGAGGATTGGATTGGACCTTTCTTTAGTTCGGGTACCCAATTGAGCTATTGATATGAGTACAGGGACCTATTTGACCCTTTAGCCTTTGGAAGAATAACGATCCTGTCAGATAGGTCGAGACCATTTGGGACTCTTCCATTTAGTACTAAAGTATTAAAATTCACAATATTGTTATTCTCACTTAAGGTAAGAGTAACAATCCTGTCAGATAGGTCGAGACCATTTGGGGCTCTTTCGAGTGGAATTTTTTGATGATTTTTTTTGAGGATGTTCTTCATCAAGTCTGATTTTTACCCACCAAATTGCAGCTTAAAATTCAATCGGGAAGACAATTAACTAAATTCTTTACAAAAATTGCGCTGTTTATATATATAAAGCGCATTTTTTCTAAAGAATTTATTTGATCAAAAAATTTCATTGAGAAGAGCGCCAAATGGCCTCGGCTTGACGGAGTTCTCGTGAGACCGGCCTGATACGATGTGCGCTCGTTAGGGTAATTTTGGTTGATATATTATTTTGACACCACTGACATTACATCTTGACTCCATCCCCGTGTACATACAGACAATAAGTACACCTAGCTAATAGTTGCATCCGTACATGTGAAGCACAACCATACAATTGTATGTGAAGTGTGTACATAGGTAAAAAATTGTTGTAAAACCTGAGGCCTCATTTTTTAAACTTGACTTGACCACTAATTCTTCTTACAGTGCGCGTAAGTCACTATATAAGTAGTGATTGAAATTATAGCTACTTCGCCAAAATATTCTTCTTCTTGACACCATGGCTCCACCACAGTCTTTGGTCTTCACGGTGAAGAGGCTGACGCCGGAGCTTGTTTCTCCGGCGGAGCCAACGCCCAAGGTCGTCAAGTTCCTATCCGACATTGACGATCAGGATGGCTTGAGGTTTCAGATTCCAATCATACAATTCTACCGCCACCATCCGTCCATGGACGGGAGCGACCCTGTGAAGGTGATCCGGGATGCACTGGCGAAAGCTCTGGTGTTTTACTACCCCTTCGCCGGGAGGCTCCGGGAGGGTGTTGGCCGGAAACTTATGGTGGATTGCACCGGGGAGGGAATCTTGTTTATCGAGGGCGACGCTGACGTCAGGCTGTCGGATTTTGGAGATGCCCTACAACCTCCATTTCCATGCGTGGAGGAGCTTCTTTATGATGTTCCTGGCTCTGGTGATGTTCTCAACTGCCCTTTGCTTCTCATTCAGGTACATGTATATGGATCGGAGGAGCTTAATTATATTGTACTGTTACTTTATACTTGTATTCCACATTACTATTAGAATTACGCACCGGACCGGAAAAGTTTGAATCAACAAAGTGTTATATTAATACATGAGTTACTCCTCCTATCAGATTGACTTTTTAGGATGTAACCCAAGTCTTAACAATTACATACCATTTTTTCCGTAGAAGATAAAAAAATTGTTTTCAAATAAAAAACTTAAATACAAAACAAAAGAAAAATAAATTATAATACTATCTTCCGTTTTTTTTAGTCGCAACATGTTGAATTTTACACTATTCACAGGCTCTACTTTGACTAAATTTTACGCTATTATTTTATGAAAATTATTTTTTAAAAAAGATATTGTTCAATTCATCTCATTACAAAGTTTCAAAATCCGATTTTTTTTTTACTAATAGAGATTAAGATATAATTACGGTCAAAGACGGCCAAAAACCATTGCAACTAAAAAAGAACGGAGGAAGTACGTACATACCAAACTTCAAACAAGGTTTGGAGCTAAAGTAATACGGAGTACGAAGTATATAGTAACCGGAAGACTTTTGTATTCAGTAAAAAAGAGGACTGTTTTTTTTTGTAATATAAGGAGTAATTAATAAATCCGTAGTTATCTCTTAGTCTTCGATCAAAGTTTTGTAATTAAAGAAGACTTTTAGACTTTTAGACTTGAAAGTTTGGAAAGTGCTTTAGCCTTTAGACTTATTTAGTAAAGCTTCTTGTCACACTAATTTAAGGGAAAACATCCTTACTTTCATTTGTGCATCTCTTATTAATATTTATCATGTTCCACTTTCACTACATTTTATTCACTAATGCATTACTGAATTAGTTTTAAGAAACATCATTAAATGTTTCTTGTCATAAATTATCAAAAACTGAATTTTTAATTTTTTTATTAATAGATAATTAAATTTATTAATGATCAAAATTGTACATTGACAAACCTGAAAAAGAGTAGTGTTGCAATTAAAACAAACGGATGAAGTATATATATATAATCATGATGACAACTTCAATTGTTCCTTAGAGTACAAATGCATCTTTAAAGAACATACTTATAATTTGTTTTTGAGTAATGGTGTGAAATCCATTGAATAGCTGATTTTAGAATATGAGCGAGTGTCAAATTTTAAAATACGGAGTATGTATCAATTATTCTATCCGTTCTTATATACTCCGTTATTGACACATGCATGTTATATTGGTTAAAGGGTTAAAAATATTAAAAATATGTTTGAGAAATTTATTTTAATAGTTATTATACAAATAATTATTATTTTACGATCATGGTAAAATGATAAGTATATAATTGTAATTATAATAATTTTAGTAGTAAACGAAAAAATGCATTTGGGCTTGCAGGCCAACCCGCAACCCGGTGGGCCAACTCACTTACCCGCAAACCCTGTGTTTGGACCCGCGAAACCCACGAAATAAGCGGGTTAGAAAATCATAACCCTAACCCATCGATAAATGAGTAGAAATGGGCTAGCGTAAAGGTTTTGGCCTATCATGACGGTTCTACATATATTACTCCTATTTTAAAAATAAAAAGATTTTGATGCAACAATTTAACTCCTATTCACTTCTCTTTTTATATTTACTCCTATTTGTTGTTGTTTACGAAGGTCACCCGCCTCAGATGTGGTGGCTACATATTTGCCTTGCGACTAAACCACACCATGAGCGACGCATTTGGTCTTGTCCAGTTCATGACCGCCGTTGCAGAAATAGCACGCGGCGCCCGTTCACCATCCGTGCTCCCTGTTTGGAAAAGGGAATTGTTGGATGCCCGAAAACTTCCACGTCCCACGACGGCGTACACCCACCACGAGTACGACCAAGTTCCGGACTCCAAGGGGACTATCATGCCCTTAGACGACATGGTCCACCGCTCTTTCTTCTTCGGACCAACGGAGGTCGCTGCTCTTCGTCGTCTCCTCCCCAACGACTTGCATCCGTGCTCCACCTTCGACGTCGTAACGGCGTGCCTCTGGCGCTGCCGCACTGCTGCCCTGAAACCCGAGCCAGAAGAAGAGGTTCGGGTGCTCTGCATTGTGAACGCCCGCTCGAGATTCCGCCATCCTCCGTTACCGAAAGGTTACTACGGCAATGCGTTTGCATTCCCGGTGGCCGTAACCACCGCGGAGGAGCTAGTGAAGAAACCATTGGAATACGCCGTAGAGCTGGTGAAGCAGACCAAATCACAAGTGAGCGAGGAGTACATGAGGTCGGTGGCGGAGATGATGGTGGCCAAGGGGCGGCCGCATTTCACGGTGGTAAGGACTTATCTTGTTTCCGACCTGACACGGGCTGGGTTTGACGAGGTGGACTTCGGGTGGGGAAACCCGGCTTACGGCGGAGCTGCCAAAGGAGGTGTCGGTGCCATCCCTGGGGTTTCAAGCTTCTATATACCATTCAAGAATGGAATCGTGGTTCCGGTGAGCTTACCTGCCTTTGCAATGGAAACATTCGTGAAGGAGGTGGATGATATGATAGCTGAAGGACACTTCAAAGAAATTTATATCAAAATACGTGATATTATTAGATCTTCTCTATGATTTACTACTTCCCTTAGAAATACGTGATATATTGATTTTTCTTGTCTAATGATAACAAAATTTGAACAATAATTAGATCAGATTTAATTCTAACAGTCAGTTTTTTTTATCAAACAACTACCAATTTATCTTTTAAGATTTTTTCGGTGACTAAAATCTAACAGTTATTACGTACCCTTTCTTTCCCGAATCGTAAGACACTTTACGATTTACGATGTTTGACTGACGATAAAGCAAACAGATCTCTGTCCGCACTCAAATTATTTTTAGAAGAAAAGAATTACTTATTTGAAAACAACATTAAAGGTTTACAAAGTCGCAAAAACTAGAATCAAATTTGGTAAAAGTTTGATATATAAAGTAAGATATTAAAAGTGATTTGTGTCGATCGAGTGAGTAGGAAAAATATCTTACAAAATAGGACCATGGGAATATTAAAAAGTTCAAAAAATTATATTTTGCCTAGTTGTGTCAAACATCATTTTCTACTTTTTCCGCCCCTTATAACTTTACTTTTTTGGATGTCCCAAAAACTTTGCCACTTTCCCTTTTAATCAATGAATTTGTGGTTACTGTCATTTCTCTCTCCTCTGCACATATTTCAACCACACAGTTTTTACTTTATTATTTCCCGTGCCGGTCAAACATGGCAAAGTATTGAGGGAAGGAGGGAGTATATTAGAAGCGGACACTTACCCTCAAATGTCATGTCGTTCACTGTATAACTAGAGGTGGGCGGTGATTGCAGAGAAATAGCTCACGAAATCTGTGGTTTGACAAGAAACCATTAAGAACAAAATATTATGCTTAATGGGCTTCATTGAGACTTGGAAGTCTTGTCCTTCCACCCCATCTGGCGTGCCCTCGACTCCCACATTGCAGTCACCTTCTTCTGTGCCAGTAGGGTGACATCGGCCTTTTCTCTGGCCTCCTCGCAAGTCTCCATCCCAGAATTGCACTTATCTGCTTCTTTCATATACTGAGATGTCATCCTCTTTGCCTCTAACAATGCAATGTCGGCTTTGTGCTGGTTTTCAGAGGCTTCAGCTTCTCGCGACTTTAATTCCTCAGACAAGAGCTCTGCGAAGTTCTTCTCTGTGTCTTCGCCCACCTCGGGATCATGCTTTCCACAATCTGTGAAATGTGGGAAAATGAAAAAATGGAGAGAAATTCTATCAAATGTCACCCATCACTTTGTTTTTCGACTCGAAAACATGAAAAACTTATTCATATAAAATAAAATTCAACTATATACGTCCTCATGGCTATGGTTTTCTAAAACGACAAGCTCATAGACACAATCAGTGAGCAATACTTTCAAATTTCAATCCAAAGGAGGTGTTGAACAATGCTCATAACCAGCATACTGTTCTATAAGATCCAACTGCATCACCAGAAGCATTGGAAGAACTAAACTCAAATGCAATTGGCAGTAGAGCATGTTTGTGACACTTATAATCTGAAATTAATAAGAGGCCTTTTATATTATAAGCTGTTCATTTACGTTGGGAGTTTGTATCTTATTATGATTTAAATTTTCATTCTGATGTTTGTATTCACACCTATTTTCCTAGTAAAACCTAATGTTTTGTTGCACTAACACGGATTTATTTATTTTAAAACCACTTTTTTAAAATATTACCTAAACAAAAGCTGATATAAATAATACCTTGTATAACCAATTGAAGATAGTGATCACAATATTTCACATAAGTCGCTTAACACAAACACCAGCACAGTTCTTCTGACTCAAGTAAAATAATGAGGAAATATTATGTTTGTGTCACTAACCTGAAAAGGAAGCATTACTTAATCCTGCAATAAAGAGCAAAGTTAATGTCAGGGTTTTTAGCTTAGAGGCGAAGAAATTTAAAATTAAAAAAATAAAATGACATCAATAAGAGGTTCAATGACCAATGTTCTATGATTTTCATGTTGGTTTTGCAATACCAATCACGCAATGGACTAACAAATTAACAATAGCAAATCTGATGTCATCACAGTCTTATAATACTTTCATGCATACGAAATCTTTATATATATAACAATGGAACCGTGAGAACAATAACTGTTCCCGCCGGTCCAAGCTATGTATATCACCTGTGATAACCGCTTTTCTAATTATTTATTTAATTCTCTCTATAATTTTGTTTCTTATGTTTATAGGGTGAAGAAACTTTGTACGTAACGGAGTATTATACTTCGTATTTTTTTGTTTAAAGGGTGCATGCATGTTATACTACACTGTTGCAGTCATGGTACGTACTTTAATTGGATTATTGGATGCAAGCTGACTCTGAATACTTACAGGTATTTCTACAGAAGTAATATAACTATTTGCTTTTAAATATAGGCCACATGCAAACTGATTCATATAATTTCTATCAGTAGAGATGACTATTTTTGTTTCATACCGAGTACAATTTAAAATCTCACTCAAACCATATGTGTCAAGTATTTATATCGATATTTATGATATGCTTATTAAGGATGTTTTTATTTGGATTCATTTCAATCATAGACCAGAGCATACTTAAACAGATTATACCAGACTCGACAATTATAAAATACACAAAACATGACATTTACCAGATCAGACTTCCACAGATCAGATCAGACTAGACATAAAATTTCAATCCAATTAAAAACATGCTATATAATTACATAGATTTTACCATCTATTTAAGGAATTTTTAAATGATAAAAACGCAAAGTTGTAAATGTGGACTAACAAATAAATACGGAGTAATACGGAGTATATTATAAAATCAAATTGACAAAAAATCTGGAATTGTCTTTTAAAAGAAGTATTGTGTAGTTCATATTATTTCTCTCTTTATTTAGTTAATTATATACTCCATATATGAATTTATTGTAAAAGTTTATATATGTTCAATGTTATATACTATTCCAGTTTCTTTGAAATTAATACTATGTATGTCTTACATCGATAATTTAATTCGTCTAGCTAGCATCATAAAGAAAATAAAGAACTTTTGTCCCGTGCATCGCACGGGTACAATACTAGTATATATAAAAAGGGGATCGTCTGTCCCCCCAACTGTTCTCACCCAAAGGTAATTATGTTACTTACGTGGCACACAATGGATTTCTACCGCTAAACATCCAGAAATATTGAGGAAAAAATATTTAATTACATTATTATTGGGAGTTACACAATAACTGTGAAAGCTACTGCACGTGGCCATATGCATATAACATACTCTGTAACATTCAATATATAAATTCCACTCTTGGCTTCTCCAGGGTACATCCTTGGAACATCTACCGGAAGTTCTGTTCACAACTTTACACAATTACAAGCTTCTGCAGGGTACACCATATGCACATGAACATACATAAATCACCTATCTAATACCAGTACACACACATATAGTTTAGGCACTGTTTGCTCCTTAGTTCACAAGTATTAAAGTGAATACTTATCATATGTCTCTTCTTATGAAATTTCTTCGAAAATATTGAAAACGTTTGCAAAATTCTTCAGTCTGTTCAACTTCTTTAGTAACATTGTTATTGTTTACTACTATTTCTTATGCAGAGTTGCCTGCAAAAACATAGAGAACATGTTGTTCAACCAGATTCATAACCAGAGACATTTCAAGAGAAAAATTGTATCGTGTGTGCTTGCTTTGATAAAAAATTGCATATATTCTGATTCCATTTAGTTCTTTAATACGCATATCCAGGGTGAACTGAAACAAAATTTGTCTCTCTTTTTTATATGGTACACATAAATCAATACACATAACTTTATAATACAAAGTATTTTTTAGCAGTGTTAATTATGGCAGTTGCTAAGTGAAAATATGAAGATACTTTAACACTACTTTACTTTTATAAATCAGTGAATTTTCTCAATATGTTAAGTACTAAAAATCACCCATCACGACCTCATAAGAAAAACAAAGTTCGAAACATAAAAAGCAGATTTGGTTGAACTTACAGAACAAAAAAGACGAAGTAAAGACGCAAATGTATCTTTATGTTGCTGTTGATTAGATTTTCTATGTTTTTCATGTGGTTGTTGTTAACTATCCAAAAAACGAAAAAATTTAAAACTCACACACAGGAATATACAAAGCACTAGCAAATTAAGAAGTAATCACACAGTTTGATAAAATTAAAGTGCACTAGACATTTTCTTCGACGCAGAAACAGGAGACACACATTTCATCCTGTTGGATGTTGACCACAAGCAGATCCATCCACCGCTAACATGAGCCCCGCGTAAACAATGAATGAAATAGAGCAGACCATCTAATCCTCAATCTGTAGACAATGTTCGCACTAACACATACATATAGGGGATGGGAGTGAGAAAAAACTCTCCAGAAGCTTTGAGAAAGAGAGACGGATAGTGAGAAAGTGGTGCGACCAGATTATGTATTTAGTTGTGTTATAGATAATTATTATTACTGAGTACATAACTACGAAATTACCACTTAAGTTAGTCTTTGATATTTTAAAACTCACCCCGACTTACATCTAAGAAATTCCTTTGGATGAATAGACACTGAAATTTTAATACTACGTATGACATAAATGATTAATTTCATCACATAAAATCATTTTACACTGAATTGTAATTATATATCAATTATATACCATGCATCATATAATTTTAATTTAAAATTTATTATTTTATTTATTTGAATAAAATGTTTTAACAGTCATATCAATTTGGATTTTCAAATCATTTAAAATAGGTGGAACATGTGAAAACAAATCATACAAAGTCAGAGAGACAGTTAAAGTCTCTCAGGTTTTATAAAACATTTTATTTTACTTTTTTAGTGATTTTTTTTAATATTTCATTTGTATTCGTTTTACTAATAATAATATGCTCCATAATTTTTATTTATCATAGCATATACATATTACACTTTTCTTGAACACCGGTCTTATTATTCATTAACATTTTAATTCATAAAATGTTAAAAATAAGTACAAGAAGAATTTTCGAGCTCTTGACTTCATACAATTGTATATATAAAGTCAAATTGTGAGCATAATTATAATTATTAATTGTTAATAAGTCAAATTTTTATCCATTATTCTTATTTTAGTCTTAATACATAATTTTCCCGTGCATCGCACGGGTTACATACTAGTAATCTATAACACTGAACGTTTTAGAGTTTTAATCTCTCATTATTCCTTCTTAAGAAGCCTGCGACAGGAAGGGAATCTGGTGCAAAGCATTGGGATTAAGTTTCAGTTTCCTTCTTTTTTTCAAGAATATAGTGTTGAGGAATACGAGCATAATACGACGAATTAGAATTATAAATTCAAGTTCGCCGTCCCCACTAGTTGGGACTAAGGTACGAATAATGATGATGATGATGAGCCTCTTGGCATCTAACACAAAAAGAAACGCATCTGGGCTTTGAACCTGATCACATATAGCTTATGTGGTCAGGTAGCCAATTGGCACAAGTAGCCAATTGGCAATCAGCCCAAACTTGATGGTTCATGATATCTTTGGGTTTTCTTTTTCATTTTTAAATTCTTTATTTTATTCCTAACTAGTGGGGGGGGGGGGGGGGGGGTAGGTGATGAGGAATTGAGGACATGTTAGGTATAGTCACACTACTCACACATCATTTGAAGCTAATGATATTGAGTTAAACCAAAAACAAGGGAATGGGTACTTTTGAAGTTACACGCGCCAAAATGGAGGATTGAAATTAACTTTTAAAATCTTTCTAAATTAAGAAGATCGAAAAAAACAATGAAGACAATAAACTATATCGAAATACATTAGTTCTAGTCTAAAACTAACAAATACATATATATTAGTCCAAAAGATTTATTAGTTTGAAAAGGAAGTTCTTACTAAATGAAGTTCTCACACTTCCAATTTTGGCCAAGGATCTATTTTATGCTCAACTATGGTCTAAGTATCTATTATGAAGTACTAGTATATATTTTTACTTAATAGTAGAAAGCTACATTTTGATCAATCCACAGGAGCACCAAAGATGCTCTAATAAGGGCAAGGTTGTGTATTATTATCATTATAGAAACCCACAATCACTGCACCTGACATAATGGCATCTAAATGGGAAAATAAGCAAAAGCAAAAGCCAAACATAAATAGTGTATATGTCCTCTCACTAAGCAAAGTGCTTACGACGTTAATTTGAACTTCTACAGTTCTATGAGCTCCATTAACAACCGTTTAAACGCTATCTATTCAATACTTCAGCATTAAAGGAAAAGTGACCCGAAAACCCACTAGTGATTTCGTATGGGGGCGAAAAATTACTAAAAGGGTAGACTGGAAAAATTTGTGAAAAGGAGAAAGACTGTTGCTTTACTCAACAGATGAACTAAAATTTACCAGATAATGAAAGATTTGCGCTGTATACACAAAAGATTCATACCCAGATAACTTAAGACAGATGAAATAGAAGGATCTAAGCAGATCCCCAAAAGAAGGGGATTTACCTCGAGGGATGGAGAGAAGGGGTAGAGAATTGCAGTCACAGGTACAAGGAGGACACGAGTAGTAGGAAGAAGAAGAACGGCGGACTGCTGCTAAGCCTTCCTTGAGGTGCCAATACAATGGCGGACCAAGAATATATCCCACCAAGCACACTCCCATGACCAAAAGCACCGCCTTTACCACTCTCGGTCCACATCTCTGCTGGTTCACCCCCATTCTCTCTCTTTCTCTGATCTACCGACTCTTTCCGGCTAAATCGCACAAAGTTTCGTCGTCATTGAAATAATTGAAGAAAACTGGAGTTTTTGAACAGTCCAAGTCGGCAGCAACTCTCCTGACTTCCTGAGCCGGCACTCCTGGGGTGAATATGACTTTTTGCGCGATTTTTTTAACTTTCCATTAATACGCTTTAATCAAATAAAGCCCCTACTATTTCTCTTATTCCAACTCCGTACGACCGCATCCACGCAATTGTTTTGTCTCTTGTGGTTCCGATCGATGCGCAGAGAAGTGAGCGATGGTGCCCAGAACGGTTGGGCAATCGAATGCTTGGAACTTCACGCGGCTTCTGACAACAAGAGCAGTTTCATTCGCGGCTTCGAGCCGAACCACCTTGGAATCGGCTTCCGGTGACGGAGAACTCCGGCTGTTCATTGTTGCCGGGGAGGTTTCCGGTGACTCCATTGCTTCTCGTCTTATGGTCTCCATCAAAAAGCTCTCTCCTCTCCCCGTACGCTTTGCTGGCGTTGGAGGGTAATCCTATTACATCTCTAAGATATTTCTGATTTTATAATTTTATTTTTTTCCCATTTCTTGTACTCTAAACTAGTAGAGCATTATAGCTGAGAGTTGGCTGCTTCGAATCTAATGCTGATCTAGTCACATTTTTTTGCTGTTATATACTGCGTATGTGGTAAAGTTAATTCTTTTTCATTAGGAAGGAAACAAAAGGTGGAAGTTTCTAGAAACTTAGTAAATATTTCATGCTTCTTATTACCTCATTCAATATCGGTTTCTTTCTTCTTTAATTGGATTATTCAGGCATATGATGTCAAAGCAAGGGCTAAGCTCTGTCTTTCCTATGGAGGATATAGCAGTGATGGGTCTTTGGGAGTTACTACCACATCTTAATCAGTTCAGAGTATTCCACATAGTTATATGTTATTTATTTCTTGAGTTACATCTGGTAGTCTATTATATATATACATTCTACATTGGAATCACAGCTTGGATTGGAAGAAGCCGTGCAAGCTGCTCTTAGATTTCGGCCTCATGCTGTATTAACAGTAGATGCAAAGGGATTCACCTTCCGTTTCCTAAAACACTTGCGAGGTAATACACGGCTTCACGTTTGATTAATACAGACATTTCTATTTTTAGTTATTTTCCTCCACACACTGGAAAGAATGTTTTTTTAGCTAGGTACAGGAAACAACAAGGGATGATCGGCCCTTTGCATTTTCATTATGTTGCACCATCATTCTGGGCCTGGAAAGGCGGTGAAGGTAGATTGGGTGGACTGGCTGAATTTGTGGACCACGTCTTGTGTATCCTTCCCTTTGAGGCTGAAGTGTGTAGATCAAATGGTTTAGCTGCAACTTTTGTAGGCCACCCCACACTTGAAGATATGTTTGAGTTTGAGGTGAAACTTAGTTTGTAGGTGTTCAAATTTTGCAATTAGAGAATACTAAAGCCAAAATCGTTCTAAATGCGAAGTTTTTTACCCCATCGTCCTAATTAGCGATGTTTGGCCTTGTTTGGTATAATGCCTTTTGGACCACTAAGCTGGGTGTATTTTCTCCTTGAAAAGTTTTTTTGGTTCAAACATATATAGTCTATGTTTAGAACTGGATCCCGGAATGGTCGGGAAAGGAAAGAAAGTACCGATGAATGTTACTTTCTCATGTTTGGTACTTCGGATTTACCTAACCAAAATGAAATATGATCAATCGATACTTATTTTAAAGCAAGTTTAGATTTGCTAGTATTTACATAATAGAAAAAAATGACGTTTAACAGATTCTAGAAATAAATTTATGGAGTCTGAACTAATGTTTTATTTTCCTCCAAACTTTCTTCCTTTCAAATTTCTCCTATTTTTCCCTCTTATTTCCCTTCCTTGCATTTTCTAGAGTGAATCCAAAGAGTGATTTATGTAAGAATAGAAAATTTCAAGACGTATTTCATTTCATGCTTATTTCTCTCATCTTACACATATTTCCAATGTTTACTGACTTAAGGAATCTTTTTCAGGGGAGAGATTCCACAGAAGATGGGTGGAAAGTTAAGGGGAATGCAGAAAAGTTTAGGAATGACCATGGAATATCTACAGGTATAGCTACTTGTCAATTTTTGGTAATGCGGTGTTCTTTTCCATTTTCTCTTGATACCAAACCATCCTTTCAGTATATTCAATCTGTCACTCTCCCGTTTTGCTGCTCAAGGGTAAAGAAAAAGGTCCTAAGCAGTTAAACTGTATTACTTTGCATGCAAATAATTTGTTCAAAAAAAAAAAGTAATGGCCTCTCGCATTAGAAAATTTGACCAACTTTGTAGTTGTGATTTGACTTCTGAAGGATCCAAAGTCATTTCCTTGCTTCCTGGAAGCAGATTGCAAGAGGTCACTAGAATGCTTCCCATCTTCAGTGACACCATGAATCAACTACAAGAGTCATTTCCGGAGTTGGTTACTGCTATCCTGGTTGCACCTAATTCACATGTGGAGAATTTCATCAGCGAAGCTACCCGTGACTGGCCGACATCTGTTGTATTGGTTCCAGGAGGGTCACCGCAGATGAAGTACGACTCTTTCAGTGTAAGGGCACTTGTGGCTTTCACATTATAATTCATTTTATGAAACTATTTCTATTATAAAAATGCTATGAAACTTGAGTATGTACCAATTTTGATTTTATTTTTTGAAAAATGATTTCAATTTGACTATCCTTGATGCATAATTTTATTAAAAGAACTCTATTACGACGTATTATACAACAACAACAACATTATCCAATCCTTAATCTGAATAGAGTTTGGGGTCGGCTAGTAAACAAAAATAAAAAATAATAATAGTAAATAGTACCCCGTAATATATAGATTGAAAGGGAGTCAAACAAATTAGTCCACACGCACTCTCTCCACTCCATTCCACTCTCTCCGAAGTCTTATGATCTAACTCAGGAAGTACCACCATATTATTCTTTACCACTCAATTTCTATTACTCCCTCCGATCCCAAATGAAATTCACACTTTGACTTCACACAAATTAAGGAAATAAATTTGACTTTACTGTAGAGTACACTGTTGTGACACTGTTTGGCACTGTTTGGCACTATTTGGCACTGTTTTGCACTGTTTGGACGTAGATAATTTGCCAAATAAGGAAGGGAGAAGAAGTGTGAAGCTTATTTTGCACCTACCCAAAAAGGAAAGTGTGAATTTCATTTGGGACCGGAGGGAGTATTATACTATCCTCCGTTCTTTAATAGTTGCAACAATTTGACTTTTACATTCGCCAACACATAATTTTGACCGTAATTATATATAATTACGTATTAGTAAACATTATAAAAAGTTAATATTTCGGAAATTTACATTAATAGAAATTTAATAACATTGAGGAAGCGGTCCAGCTCAGCTGGTCGCTGACTCACTCTCCCTTATGAGAGGTCTCGGGTTCAATTCTCAATGGAGTGAGATTGATCCCACTTTACTCCATGCCCCCCCCAAACCCCCCTCCCCCCCGACGCCCCCGGGTTAAAAAAAAATTAATAACATTTTATACATAATAATTTGATTATATATATTGATAGAAAATCGTAGTCAAACTAAGGTATGTGAATAGTGCAAATAATTTATACTACGTACTTCATATTTGATTATCAATAATGCATTTCCCAATCTGAAGCCGAACGTAAACTAAAAAGTTCAAATATAATTTTTTCCCTTCCCTAACGTTTTCCATGATCCAAATTCCCAAGTACAAGCATACCTTAGTGTAATTAGAGACTAATTATTGCAGGATGATTTGATGATCTGCCAGATTTTTTTGGGTGTAACTATAGGGTAGCAATGTAGCGCTATGCACTTCCGGGACGGTAGCAATGGAGTTGCAGCTAGCACGCCTACCCTGTGTTGTTGCCTATCGAGCACACCTCCTAACAGAATTGTTCATACGTTATAAAGCTAAAGTGTCCTACATTTCTCTTCCTAACATTCTGTTAGATTCAGATATTATACCAGAAGCTTTGTTTCATGATTGTACTCCTTCAAGATTGGCAACATTGCTCAGGTTAGCTGCTTTTGGAAAAATAAATTTCAATTTCCTAAATTTTCTCAAACTTTGGTTAATATTGATTTAGTTGCTTAGATCTCTGGATAATGAAATAAATATATTTTGAGGAAAAAGTTGTAATACCCGATCCTAAACTATTGCTTACTTTGACCGGGCATGGAGTTCAAGAAAGGGAAATATGTGCTGCTCAGTTGTATTTAGAAGACAGAAAAAATAGGGCGAGCCACTTATTACCATTTTCCGTAAACAATCAGCAATAGTTTCGGGAAGGATAAAAAAAGCATTTTGTTTGTTAGCACAAGGTGCGTCCAACTTCACCGAACCAATCTTGAGCTCCCAAGAACCCTCCCTAAACACTCGAGAAAAATAAGTCCAAGTCATTCAAACAATCCCCTGAGTTCCCTCCACCGTCTACATCACTGCGCACAAGAAGTCATTCTTAAATGATTGTTTACGCGTGTCCTTAGGTTCCAAACACACTCCTGGAAGAATAGTCACTGATTGATCAAACAAAATCAGCATCCTATCAAGAAGCTTACTCACACATTGTCTCTTAATGTAAGTTGAAATACTCAGTGCACGACCACTCGAACTAGCCCTAAGGGGCTAGAGGGTCATCATTTGGGAAGGATTTTAAGTGTGGTAGATGGTCTACTTGAAAAATATATGTAGATAATGTAGGGGCAGGGGTAAGAAAAAGGCAATAATAATCAGCTTTAGCTACTTCCACCAAAAGTGCCCTAGTCTCTACATATTATTCTCCATTTGCGCATTCAAACAAATCAGAGTTCGGTAAAGTAGCTACCAAACAGTAACTTAGAATTAATTATCGTGTCGCTAATGTTACTTACTAGATGACTCATTGATTTATTATTTTTGCAGGAATTTGGTTCTTGATGAAAGCCTTCGACAAAAGCAGATGATTGGTGCGGAAAAGGTGATTGGATTACTTAAGCCGCCCGAACTAATAAACAGCAGCTCGACACAACTGATTGGTTATACAGCTAGTATGATTGCAGCTTCTACCATTCTCTTTTCCAGAAGGACATGATTGCCCTTGAGTTATTGGGAGAGGAGTGATGACATCACCATCTTAATAAAGGAAGTAAGCGGAATGCAATCAATTTATATCCTCTATTAGAGTATTTACAGTCATTGAAATCAAGAATGAACATGAATCATAATCATTAGACATAAAATGAATTTTATGGTCCAATAATTATATAAGGATGCTAATTACCTAGAACTCACAGAATTTCGGTAGTAAATAGTCAAAAGTAATCTTGGTAGCAAATACTCAAACTTTATCTTTATCAATGTGATTTTGCAGAAGGTTATCCAATTTGGACTTATCATGGAAATTTTTTATAAGCTTCACCATTTTTAGATTTGCATATTCCATCTTATGGACATAACTATGATACTCTTATGAAAATCACCTTCAGGTGAGAGTTTGTTTGACCAAAGAATGATACAAGACATTTTCGGGAGACACGTGGGTTGTAGTGTCAAACTCCACGAACTTTCAGATGTGCCTGTAGATGCATCGTTAGCTTTAGACGACTTTTTGTATATGGTTGATCATTTTAAAAATATGTTGCAAGTTGCAGATCAACCTTTACAGGAAGGTTGTCATTAAAGGCCACAATTGCATTGTGCGTGACGTGATGATCATAGAATATGATTTTAATGTATCACAAGATGAAGTGAATGGGTGACTGAAATTATTTAGTCAATACTTACCTCGTGACAACAATGTCTCAAGAAATTATTACGAGGCAGTGAAACTTATGGCAAATTTAGATCTCTTAGTGGTAAAGGCTGAAACTTGTCTAAAATAATGTTTGCTAGTTTCAAAAATGACAAGAAATTAGAAAATGTGGTGAGGATCATAACACGTATGATCCAAATGAGGAAATCCTGTCAAAGAGATATAACCAAACTACAATTATTCTTATGGTGTATAAGTGTATTATGAGACTGGACATTTGATGCAAAAGAGGCTGTCTAAATGGTGTCGAATAGCAGGTTGTCAAAATAATATGGCATGCGGAGATTGAGTCAACTGGAGCTTTAATGGGTCACCCTTCACAATGAAATGTCGAAGCAGATTGTTGAAATGTTTTTTGGTTTTGCTTCTGAGTTACACAATGTCTAACTTGGTTTGAGATCTGACGGTTTGATATGTTGTACATTATAATTGTGTCAGCCTGTTATTCTTATCACTTTTAATCTTCTTCTGGTATGTGTTTGAAAACTCCATATATATTTTCTTATCTCTAATAATTTCAGGTTTAAAGTGCCGTAAACAGAAAAACTGATATTGATTTCCAACCACTTCTTGATGATTTGAAACACTTGGTGTTAACCGGTTAAGGATCTACACTAGGCATGTCAAAAAAAAAAAACCGGCCTGCAATGACCCGTCCTAGCCTGACACATTTGAGGTGGATCCGGCCTGCCTCGTCTTGCAAATGGGGCGGGTCTGCCCTGCCCTGTCCATACAATGGGATGGGTTCGGGTCTTATCATTGATCTGTGCCTCCCCGCCTTGACCCGTCCCACTCAAATACTCAATATATAAGTATACATACTTTTTTTAAATGATATTGCAAATACACTTTTACATACATATGTTTGTATATAATAAATCATAAATAATTTGGGCTTATAACATATTAATATTTATATTTCAATGAGACGAACGACGAATTATCAATGTCTTTTTTATATATAGTATTTTAATTTTATATATTCAATTATTAAAATAAATATAATAACTATTCAAGTCTAAGTACTTTTTCTTAACTTTTGAAAATTTTAGCCTATTGTGGCTTTGATTTAATATATTACTCCCTCCGTCCCGAAAAGGTTGGCCAAAGTTGAATTTCACGTGGATTAATAAAGTAAAAACAGTGAATGAAATTTGTGCAGAGGAGAGAGAATTAATTTTAGTCACATATTCCTTACTTTAAATGGAAACGGAAAATCTTTTTGGGACATCCATAAAAGGAAATTTGGTCAACCTTTTCAGGACGGAGGGAGTATTATTTTTAATAATTATTTAGATATAAACTTTACGTATATTCAAATAGTAACAACTTCACACAAATAGAAATGCATACTAGCTAATTAGGTGGTGGGGTTAGGCGTAGGGGTGGACCCGGGTTGGGACGGTTCCGGGCCGGGCCTAGGCCCGGACGAGCTTTTTTCGGAATGTTGGGCCCGGAACCGGCCTGGGTTGATACAGGATCCGGGCCAAATCGAGTCGGGCCTGGTTTAATGTAATTTTTTTGGCTTTCTAATTAACCCCCGACCCTCCTCCCTCACCCCCACCCCCAAAATCTCCCCAAACCATCCAGTCCTACCCAATGAAAAGAAAAAATTGAAAAAACAAAAAAATGAACCGGACCCGACCCAGCCCGAACTGCCCGGGCCGATTCATGAAAATCATGGCCTGGAATTGGCCCGCCAGAACCGCCTAAACCGGGCTAAAGTCCGGAACCGGCCATCCGGGCCAGGTTCGGGCCTTGCCGGGCTCGCACAGTAGTAGGCCGGTCCGATTCCGGGCCGGTTCGACCCGACCCAGTCCACCCCTAGCTGGGTGGACCCGACCCGCATTAGGCAGGTCATGGGTCAACAAGTTTGGACTCTGGCGGATCACGGGGCGGGATGGGTCCATCCAGTGAAGTCACAGGGCGCGATCTGGGTCTTGTAGTACCCACCCCACTCCGACCCATTGCCATGCCTAATGTACAATATGTCATAAGTCGATATAAATACTGTGTCAAAAAGTGGGTGCTAATGTGTCGATGCAAATGCTTCAACACAAAAATATTACTAGTGTCGACACTAGTTGACGCAAATACAATTTATCTTTTGTGTTGACATTGTCAACGCAAAAAGGTCATGAGTGCAAAAAGTTAAAAATAGCATTTGTGTTGACTTGAAGAAGTTAAAGATTCTTTTTTCTAAATATAATACTCTCTTCATCCCGCTAACAATGGGACAAGAGAGGGTGGCATGCAAACAGGGTCGGTCCTGGGGGGGAGGGGGGGGGGGGGGCAACAGGGGCGACCGCCCTAGGCCCGAAAAAATAGCAAAAAAAAAAAATAGGCCCAAAATTTTTTCTTTATATATACCGTGAGTAGGACTCTTTTTTGTATTCTTTTTTTGAATAATCTTTTTTTTATAATCTTTTTTGTATTTTAAAACTCATTTAATTAGGCCCATGATTTAATTTTGTTCATAATTTTAAAATTATAAAAGAAACTTTATAAAAAATTATAAAAGGAATGTAATGTGTCCCTCCCAATCCCCAGTGGCCCAATAACCCAAATCCCTAAACTACCTAAGTACCTATTACGTACTCCGTATTACCGAACACTTCAAATTCTCCCATCTACCTCATCCCAATTCCCAAACATTAAACTCCCAAATCCCAATAAGGCAATAACCCACTTGGCCGGCCACTTCATTGTTTTTTTGTTTTGTTTGTTTTCAATTTTGAAATCAAGTAACGAAGGTTCAATTGTTCAAGGTTGCCTAAGTGATAACTGATTGAGAAGGTTTCAAATCGGCTGGCCGTTCGGTTGTTACGGCAAGGCGCAAGCCTTCAATTTTTCAAGTCTGCCAATCAATCCAGGAACGGAGGAGGCGAGGAGCCCAAAGGTCGGCCGGGAATTACAAATTTACAAGTCTAGAACACCTTCTTTCAACTTTCAAGGTTTCAAACAATCTGTCAGTCACCAGTGGTAAGTAAATTAATCTCAATCTATTAGAATTTATTTTGATTTATGATTGATAATTTATGATTTATCCTTGCAATTGCAATTTGTATATAAGAAAATGTTTTTGTTATATGATGCATTTTTATTGTCTTGTTAAATTGATATCTGTGTGCTATTGGCTATGGACCCTATCGTGCAATTTTGAATTCTTTTATTGTTTTTTACGATTGTGAAGGTGCTCGATAAAATGGGTGAATCTGGTTGGGAAAAAGAGAAAAAGAGGCAAAGATTAGATAAGGCAGCCTTTAGTCAAAAGGGGGCAATGGAAAAATATGTTTTCGTTAAGAAGTTGAATCCTGAAAATTCTTCTCAAGTTGAATCGCCGTTAAATTCTTATGCGAATGAAAATAATAACACGCCTGGGAATAATGATATTGGTACAGAAGCCGCAAATGTTGAAACTGAGCCAGATAAATGTGATTTAGGTGAAGAAAATAAATCAGTGAGGGGTCATTTTTCAGTGATTGATATATATGATCCGGTTTATTGGGGGAACCTTGATGCCAAAATGAAAGATATTTTAGTTGAAAAAGGACCTATAAGGGAAACTCAACTAAATTATCCTCTTGATGCCAAGTTTAGACATTTTTCAAATGCCTATTATACTGGGAACATGAAAAATAAAGAAAGCGAAGATAGACAATGGCTAGTGTATTCCAAAAAAGTGGATAAAGTCTTTTGCTTTTGTTGCAAGTTGTTTAAAACAAAAGAAGGTCCCAATCATTTAGCTAATGAAGGAACTAATGATTGGAAACATCTTAGCGAAAAGCTTTCTACCCATGAAAAAAGTGTTGAACATTTTACTAATGTGCAAAGATGGATGGAACTAAAGATGAGATTGGCAAAATAAAAAACCCTTGATTCGGCTATTCAGGAAAAATTAGCAAAAGAGAAGCAGCACTGGAGGGATGTTCTTAAGAGGATAACAGTTTTAGTAAAGACTCTTGCTAAAAAATCACTTGCCTTTCGTGGAAGTAGTGACAGACTTTATGATGAAAAAAATGGCAATTTTTTAGGGTTCATTGAAATGATTGCATTATGCAAGAACATGTGAGGCGCATCCAATGTAGTGAGATTCACTATCATTATTTGAGTCACAAAATTCAAACTGAATTGATTCTGAGGTTAGCATCGAGTGTGAAAAGTACAATTGTTAATCAAATTAAAGCTGCGAAGTACTATTCAGTTATTCTTGATTGCACACCCGACTCAAGTCACAGAGAACAAATGACTCTAATCATAAGATGTGTGAATATGTCATCAGGCAAAGCAGAAGTTGTTGAATATTTTTTGGAATTTATAGAAGTACTAGATACAACTGGATTGGGGCTTTTTGGGGAATTAGAGCGTGTGTTGATTTCATCTGAGCTAGATATTGATGATGTTAGAGGACATGGTTATGACAATGGGTCTAACATGAAAGGTAAGCATCAAGGTGTTCAAAGAAGACTACTTGATATGAACCGGAGAGCTTTTTACATGCCATGTGCTTGTCATAGTCTAAATTTAACAATTTCTGATATGGTTAAATCTTGTTCAAGGGCGGTTACTTTTTTTGGATGTGTTCAGAAATACAGCGGAGAGAAGTTTTTCAAAGTTGAAGATACTGAAGAATCATTTGCGATCGACTATGTCTCAAGAAAGGCTGAATGGATTAGCAATTTTAAGCATTGAGCATGAAGTCTTGGAAAAGGTTGATTATGAAGCAATTATTGATGATTTTGCTTCACAGTGTTCGGCGAGAAACGTTTTTAAGTAATATTTTTCTTTTTATGTGATACTTGTTACCTTTCATCAAACATGTTATTTAAATATTAATAAAGTGAATTTCATCTTTATTTTTTACCTTTATTCAATTATTCGGTAGTTTTATTATAATCTATGTTTAGCTTATAAATTTAGACCCAACTTAGCTTCTCACCCATAGGCCCACAAAATGACAGGACCGGCCCTGCATGCAAATTAATAAAAAGTGGTTTATGTGGTTGATATTGAATTGATAAAGTAAGAATAAAGTAAGATTGATTTAGAGTCACACAAATTTTACCAAATTTGGTATGAAACAATCTTAGTGAAACGGACCGATAAGGTAAACGTCCCGACGAATTATCAAATAAATTACACTATATTATTATTATTTTCTATATCTAACATTAATTATTGCGACATCACAATATCCTCAAATATGCAAAATGCACCAACTAAGTTATCAAATTACTAAGACATTAGCAACAAACCTAACATGAGTTGAAGCATAACTCTTTATCGTGAAAATCATAAATACACATTCAACATTTACTTAACGAACAATGGTAATGGTAGATAAAATGGTTATAACCATGAGTTAGTATTTTACTACCTCTGTCCTGAATTGAATTACAAACTTTGACCGGCACAAGTATTAAAAAATGACAATAAATGATGTTTGCTTTTTACAGTTTTACTCATCTTTCTAAAAGTAGTTACTTTTAAGTTAATGGGGAAAAAGTAAAAGTAACGGTAAATTTGTCACTTTATGCTTATTCAGATACCTAAAATAGAAAGTGGAAAACCATTTTGGGACAACCAAAAAAGGAAATTTTGCAAATCAAATTGGGACCGAGGGAGTATCACTCATAGGCTACAACTCATTTTCCATCCTCCCATGTTGTAGGGGTAAATGTAAATCTGGAGGTTATAACCAACTGATTATAACCATTAGTTTACTGAAATGTAGGCAAACGTACTGTTTGTTATTGTAAGTCCTATTCATATGTATTTTATAGGACTTGTTTAAGTGATGATAATAATTGATTTATAACTCTGAATAAGATATTGACTCATATCATCTATTTATAACTCTGTTTTACTATATAAATTTAAAACAATAGATATAACTCTCAATGTCATCTATTTGTCATAATAACTACTTATTTTAGTCTATCTCTTAAGCATTTGAGATACTCTAACACTCATTCTAATTTGTATCTAGCAGCATTTAATCTTAATAGTGAAGAGTTAGTGTAATAATCCACAACTTCAACTAACACAATTACAAATTAAAGAGTTATTTCAATTTAAGAAGTACGTATGTTATTAATTGAAACACTTTTTCTCTGTGCATATTTTACACACTTTTTGGTATATCTCTAGAACTAGAATGTAGGAAAAAATGTGTCTAAATGAATGGGACCTTTAAGGAGAAAAGGCATGTTAAACACTCTAATATAGTTCTAGTTCTAGATGAGAAAAGCATTTGAGACATACTACCTTTGTTCCCCTAAGTTTGGGACAAAGAGATGTGATGTGGTTTTTAAGAAAAAATAGAATTGTGTGGTTGATATTGAACTGATAAAGTGTAAATAAAGTAAGAATAAATTCTATCCACGTAAATATTACCAAATATGATACTTCCTCCGTTCTTAAATAAATGCAACGGTCAACATTTCACACTTGCCGAGACACAACTTTGACCATTAATATAAATGATTTTGTATTAGTAAAAAAATTTAAAAAATTAGATTATGAAAATTTACAATGAGACAAGTTTAACAATATTTTTTCATAAAATAATATTATTACATTAATAAATAAAACGTAGTCAAAGTAGAACATGTGAATAGTGTAAAAGTCAAAGTGTTGCAATTATTTAAGAACGGAGGTAGTATATGACAAATTTAATGAGACGGACGAAAAAGATAAAATGAGACAAAGTTGGGAATAGAGGAAGTAACATTACTCTTTCTCTTACATTCTAGTTCTAGTAGATAGATAAATTCAACTTTTAGTAATTAGTAGCTTAAACTTTCAAGATTGGCAATAAATTAACCTCAGCTCCTATATACAAGCTGTTAATCAGGTCTTAACATAACAAACAATTGAAGAAAGAATTATTATTACTCCCTTCCACGCCCGAGTCATATTCTCGTCCATGTGGTACGTACTTGCATGGTCTTCCCTTCTCTCATCCCCATTTTTCTTGCCTACTCTTTTGTTCTCGATCTCTTTGTACGTACGTACCTTCTTCTTCAAACCCAACCTTACTAATTCCTTTCTTCTCAATTCTTCCCATAATCTCATCACTCATTACTAATTTCTTTGATTTCTTTCCTTTATTTATTGTGTGCTTACTATAGATTAAATATAACTATATATATGGACAAAAGGCGATCAGGTGATGAACTCTCCTCTGATCATTCAGATGCGCCTATAAGAACACCTCTTTCCTGCTATCTTCTCCCGTCTTCAACCTCCTCCTCATCTTCTGTACTATCAATGGAATCTTTGGTCAACGAAAAGTCTCCGCAACCCACTATCCAATTCCCGGTGAGCCACGTCATCAGCTCCGCCGATCAGCACCGGGATGATGAACGGAAGGTTTTAGATGAAATGGACTTCTTTGCTGACGACCATAAGAAGGATAATAATGTTGTCATGTCCAAAAGCAAGGAAGGTCTGGAGCTACTGGAACCCGACTTGGATTTCAGCATAAATGTAGGTACTTCGTACGTACATTTACAAATATATGTATACTTCCACTGCTAAATGATATTCTCAGTTCCAATTCGATCAATTTTTATGTCACATTCACCATTACCCAATGTTATAAAAGTCGTCAGGCGCTAGTCGGATGCCAGCCTAGCGCCTAAGCGGCTAGGTGGATGCTTAAGCGGGGACTAGTCAAAAACATAAAAATTATAACTTTATCAATGTTTTTTGCATATATGTGATTAGTTGTGTTTGTGCGTGTATAATAAAATACACACACAGACATACACACATTAACATGCATGAATGATAGAGTTATCACATTTAATACTCCGTAATATATTATACCTACTCATTTAATTTCACTATGTAATAGATGATATATAAAATAAAAAAATAGATTATATACAAACACATATAGTTTTTATATTAATCTAGAACTAGTAACTTTCTTCATATGTGTTGTTAAAGTTAACGGTACATATATATATTTAATTTTAGGAAACTAAATTATAAAAGCAAAAAAAACAGTGAATCTAGATGCCCTAGGCGGCCGATTAAGCGCTCTGGATGGGCAACTAGGTGCCCTAGGCGGTCGACTAATTCACCTCAGCGCAAAACCAATTAATCGGAGCACCTAGACAAAAATCGAGGCGTCCGACCATCGTCTAGCGCCTAGACGGGGACTAGTCGGGTGCGAGGAGATAAGGTGTGAACAAGTACTAAAAAGATTATCACTGCGAATATAGGTTAAAATAAAAGCAAATCCTAAGCATATACTTCGTGTGAATTATCTATGTTTCGAGTGAGAGGCTACAAATATGATGGGGCGTGTAAAATCGTGTGGTGGCCTGTGGGTTTCATGGATTAAGACTTATTTTAAATGAATTATAGTTAGTTTTCATGGCAGTTGCACAAAAATTAAAGTAAATTTGCCAGTATTTTTTGAGTATTTGATCTTTATAATTACTAACATAGTAGGATCTTAGGATAGAAAATGTGTGTTTCGTAAAATACAACATGAATATATGGTTATCTTAGAAAATAGTGAAATTTCAACGGGGGGTAGTAGGGGATTGAATCAAGTAATTTAGAGAGCTTGACAATATATAAGATGATGGGACAAATTTTGGAATTTCTGAGTGTTTAGGGGGGTTTGGTTGAAAAGATAGAGAGGTGTCGGTTTATTAATACTCTTCACGTAATGCAAAAGTATTTTGTCACACATTTTACAACAAAAATAAGATATATCTCCAGGGGCGAAGACAGGACACTCTGGGCCGTACCAAACTATAAAGAATATTTTTGGGGAAAAAATTATACCGATTTTTTTTTACACTAAAAATATACACATTTTTAAATTTGAGGTGAATCGGGACTCGGGACCTAGGCTGACCCATCTAGCTACGCCCCTGTATATCTCGATGTTGTGAACTTCGTTCAAAGCGCTAAATAAATTAAAGATACATTTCGAAATAAAAAACAACTCCAAATCTAAATATATTAAATGAAATAAAATGATATTCATAACTACTTTATGTATTGTAAAGTATTGGTGATTGCTTGAAGTTAGAATCCATAAAAAAATCACTTGGTACATTATATAAATGAGTTGATCTAACAATCACCGTTTGAATGCGATGAATATAATTGGCATGACTTCATTGCCGAGTGTTTGGGAATTGTGTGCTCATCAAGAGATCGAAATGTTCTTAGAACATATTGTAGTGAAGCTATTATGAAAGAATATCATAATATAGGAACTCATAGGCTTGATTTTTATGACTATTGTTGAAAATAATCATAAAAATCATAATATGGGAACTTATAAAATTGAAAAATTCTACTATTTTATACTTGTGTATATAATAAGCTATAATAGTGGTGATAGATTTTTATGATTATTTTGAAAATAAACTATAAGGTTTGAAATCAAGTTTTTCCCCACAATAAAGTCTCTAGGTCCCCCACTGAGAGGAGCATTATTTATAATTACATATAATGCATTGATATTTCTATAAAAATATCAAAGTAAATTAATTTATGTTTTGCCCCATGCATCACGTTCAGAAATATATGTATGTCAGTATGTTGTTACCAAAAGTAACTTCTACTAATTAAAGAATCAAAGTAAATTAATTTTAATTCATTCCAAATTAATTAAACTAAAGCTATATTTTGATTCCAAATTAATTTAGTGTGTTACATAAATTTAACATGAGTTGCTATACATTTGTAGACTCGCTTGGGCCTTCTTACTGCAAATACTGCTAAGGATCACTCAATGGTGGAAGACAAGTTGCCACCTGCCGATTCCCAGGAAAATAACATGAGTGAGGTAGGTAATTCACTTCACTAGTTCACTTATATAGTAGACTCTCTCCCCAAAGTTCTCACTTTCCTTTTTGGGATATCCCTTATTTAAGTTCACACTTCCATTGTAGGAAACAAAACAATGCAAAACAGTGCCAAACAGTGTCAAACAGTGTCCAAACAGTGCCAAACAGTGCACTCCACAGTAAAGTCAAATTTATTTTCTTAATCTGTGTGAAGTCAAATTGGGAACTTTAATAGGGACCGGAGGGAGTATTGGTTTTTTCCGTATCTCTGGTTATTTGAGTCCTATACCTACTTATCTTTTTTGCGTTTTAAACATGTTTTAAACATGTACTAGTGCTATTTTTTAAATAAAAAATACTTTTAAAACCAAAAATAATGTCAATCAGTCCGTTTAAAAAGAAAAAATTAAATATTACGTGCGTAATAAAATTTTTGCCGCATGTTATTCTTTTCAGTAATTTTATATATGTAAATATGAGTTGTCTTGTACATAGGAATAGACATATTAAATGTTTTCCGTTTGACAAGTTTCATGGATTGTTATGGAGAATAAATTTCAAAATGAAAACATATTTAGTACACAAAAATTCAATTTAATTATTACTCCGTATTGTTCTCTCTAATGCATGCACATTTAGTAGAAACCTTGAATCTCACATTATCAGAGAGAATATTAAGATATAGCTAAGAATATATATATATATATATATATATATATATATATATATATATATATATATATATATATATATATATATACTTTATATTTAATCCGGACAATTACACAATGTGTATGTACTTGTAGTACACTTATTAAACTGTTTCAATTCCTTAATTTGAAAATCTCCATGCATATGTGTTTTAAATTTGTCATATTTTAATCCTGATTTCATGTGTAATTTTATTAATTTTATTAGTAATTCCTTACTTTGATAATCTAAAAATTTAATGTGGCTTATCCTATGTAGATCATCTAATTAAACATTTAAGGAGCAGTTATGGCTCCATATAACAAGTTTGATGATGATTGAATTGATGCTTTAATTTTGATACATAAACATTCAGCTAGATGTGGTTAAAGCTGATCTAGAGAGAATAAGCAGTGAGAATCAAGCCCTAAAGAAGATGTTGCATCAAGTGACAGACAGCTACAGTAATCTTCATAAGCAAATGACCACCTTTATGCAACAACAAAAGAATGACAATGGAAAATTATTGATACAACAAGACGACGACAACAACAACAATAATAACAACTCCTCTGGTAATGGGGAGCGGCGAAAGTTGCGGCCAAGGCCACAGTTTGTGGATCTTTGTCTGGCAACTGGAACATCAAACGAAGCCGATGAAACTTATAATAACCACTTGCCCGGTGGCGTGGATAGAGGTTGTAGATCGTCCGCATCCGGAGAAGACAGCCCCGAAAAGGGGTCTTCATCCACTGGTTGGGGAGCGAACAAGGTTGGACCAGCACTTGAGGAAAGTGGTAGTCAGGCTGCAGCCACTGAGGCAACCATGAGGAAGGCCCGTGTCTGCGTTAGGGCTCGATCCGATTCACCAATGGTTCGTATCTACTAGCGCCTCTTGCACTTTTCCTTAGCTTTCCTCTTACATATTCTCAAGTTTCAACGATTAACTAAAGTTCATCGCAATTGACTTGAAAAGTTAAAGATAACTAATTATATTAATAAGGGATGTGTAGTATTTAAAATCATCATCATTTTTCTACCACTCGTGTAATCTGAATAGGTAGGTTTCAAAAACAATTATTAATAAAATCACACTTTTATTCACTGTTTTGAGGGATTTAATCATTTAATTTTGGGATAAGGTCAGATACGGTCTCAAACTTGAAAAAAATGTCAAATAAGGCCATATTTAGGATGCTCTGTCCGGCCGATGCCATTTGGGGCGATTCCCGCTGGAATTTTTTGATGAATATTTTTGAGAATCTTATTCATTAAGTCTAATTTACTCATATCAAATTTAAACTAAAACTTCAATCGGGAAGACATATAAATGAATTCTTGAAGATAACTGCGCAGTTATATACGGAGTACAAGTTTGTGTTTATGAATTCTGGTTTCTTTTATTTACATTAAATTATAACAATTTACTTTGGTTTACATTATATATAAACATTGTTCTGATAATCAGATCACAGATGGCTGCCAATGGCGTAAGTATGGTCAGAAATTGGCAAAAGGGAACCCTTGCCCTCGAGCATATTACCGGTGCACCATGGCGACAGGTTGCCCAGTTCGGAAGCAAGTATGTTTTTTCACTCATATGTTCATATATAAAATGCGCAAATTCTTTTCAATGATTTATTTAATTAACTTTTTAATTGAATTTTAATCTGAAATTTTGTAAACATATATCATATCATGAATAACATTCTCATGTAAGTTCATAAAAAGTTTAACCCGAAAACACGTCAAATGGATTCCGCACAGCGATTCTGATCTAGAGCTCTTAATATGAATTGCCCTCTTGTTTTGTATATTTACCACATCAAATCATTAGCTTAATTTTGTGAGATGTTTTTTACAAGTACATTTAGTAAAAGCCTCTTTGATTATCATTTTTTTTGTTTATTAAGTTTATCAGCTAACTTTTTTTTATCAAAAATGTAATTTTGATTTCAAACGCTAAATTATGTAATAATAATAAAAAATACGGTTCAAGTTACTTTTCTGATAGTATTGATTAAAGTTACTCAAAATGACCATTTACCTATTTTTCATATAATTTCTTTTTATTTTATTAATAAAATACTACTCCCTCCGTCCCGTTGGAATGTTCCTGGTTTGACCTACACACATATTAAGGAAATAAACTTACCAGTGGGTAAATTTTACTATTTTGACATTGTTTCGGCACTGTTTGGCACTGTTTCGACACTGTTTGACATTGTTTTGCACTGTTTGACCCTGTTTTGATGTAGGATAACTTTCCATTTAGGGAAATGAGAACTTTCAAACGTGACATTTAAAAAAGGAAAGCGGGAACATTACAACGGGACGGGGGAGTATTATATTTTAGTGTTTTTTTCATAAATCTAGAATCATCTAATTGTCTTGTTGGATTGAATGATAGGTACAGAGATGTGCAGAGGATCGAACAATTCTGATAACAACCTATGAAGGAAATCACAACCACCCATTGCCGCCGGCCGCCATGGCTATGGCGTCCACAACCCAATCGGCGACGAAGATGCTGCTTTCCGGATCCCTGCATAGCGCCGACGGCGTAATCAGCCCAAACATGTTATCCTCCGCTTTATTCCCGTGCTCATCAAGCATGGCGACGATCTCAGCCTCTGCCCCATTCCCGACCGTCATGCTAGACCTAACCCAACCCCCAAATAATAACAGTAATAATCTGCTCCAATTTCCATCGCTATTGACGCCGCAGGTTCTTGGACAAGCTTTGTTTGCCCAGTCGAAATTCTCAGGCCTGCAATTGTCTCCGAACAGGGAAAATCAGAACCAAATCGCAGCCTCTAATGCCAATTCTCAGCTTCTTGAGACGATCAATTCCATGGCTGGCGATCCGAACTTCACGGCTGCTATAGCAGCCGCCATTTCTTCCTTGATCGGAAATTCATCAGATCCGGCCAATGTTACAAACTCCAACACCAACAATAATAATAATGGCAGTAACAAATCCACCAATCCTGGTGTTCAAGCAAACTAAATTTGATATACTTATTAGCTTCGAGTAGACTAATGGTGCTCCTAGAGTGTGTCACAATATTCCATAAAGAAGTTATTATCTGATGCTCTTTAAAATTTTGTACTAGCTTCACCTTCAAAGTTTTGATAGTTTAGTCTACATTTAGTTGAATAATGTATTTTAAATTTGAGTTTTGTTTAATGTTTTTTAGCTTACTCTAAATGATACTACCTTCATCCCAAATTGATTTGCAAATTTGACTTTTCTTGGTCAAACAGTTTCATTATATTTGCTTAATTAGGATGTCAATTTTTAAATATATTCTAATTTAGATTTTACAACTTTGAAGAAATTTTAATGTAGTTTCTGAATATATAAATTTTAATTATTAAAAATTGAATTAATTATCGATAGGGACCATTGACTTTTTTTATTTGTTGACAAAAAAATGTTGACTTTGTAAAACAATTTGGGACGGAGAGAGTATCTTGTAATGGATTGGTGAATGATACATATCATGCAACTAACAGCTTTTTTAAACAAGAGGAATTTATATGATGAAAAGAAGTGCACTTTTTCAAAACAAGTTCGGAACTATAAAATCAAAACTACACGCCGGAATACTCCTTAGAGACTCTTAGAATGTTTTTACTTGAACGGTAATTTGATGGTCGGGTCTGGTCTGATCTGATCTGGTCTGATCTGGTCTGATCTGGTCTGGTTTCTTTGTATTTTTATAACTATCCAAGTCTGGTCTGGTCTGGTCTGGTCTGGTCTAATCTGGTCTGGTCTGGTCTGGTCTGGGAGGAATTAGAGTCCAAGTAAAAACATCCTTATTCGTATAATTTATGTTTTATTCGTAAGTTCAATGATATTTGTGTAATTTCCGATTATATGTGTACACTTTTAATTAGTTTTGTGATTCGTTACTTTGGAAATTACACACTTTTGGTGTAATGTTTTAGTTTATTTAAATTTGTTTAAATTGTTTAGATAAGAATTATTCTGAGCATAGGACATATTAAATGCACTCAAAGAATCAAAGAATGGATCCCAAAGATCAAGGATGTGCAAAGGATCAAGATAAAAAAAAAGGATTTGGAAAATAGTTCATATACCTGGTCGGATATATGCAGTACCCGATCGGGTATTGACCCGATTCACATGTCAAAATCAAATCCGGGAAACAATGGATCGTGTGATGCAAATATTTGAAGATTTGGTCTCATACCCGATCGGGTAGACCGACACACCCGATCGGGTATGAGTTGATTTTTTAAACTTCGTGGAAGCCGCTGAATACCCGATCGGGTACCCTAAATACTCTGTCGGGTATATGACCCTGTCACCTCCATTTCCCTATAAATACACCCTTTTTCCTTCACATTAAATTCATTCCTTCTTCCATATACTTAAAGCTCAGTTCAGAATAACATTTCTTTATATTTTTCTAGCAATGTTTAGTCTCCAAATGAGGAGCTAAACTTCCATTTCTTGGTTTTTTTTCTCTTGAAGCTTGTTTATTAAAGTTGTGAGTTATTTTCTTAACTTCGCTTCTTGAATATTAATGCTTAATCTGATTCTATATTAATGTTGGGGTGTTGCTAAGTGACGATTAGTTAACACTTCGACATTAATTATTACTAGAAACGATCAACGAACTGATGGTTAATCGTTGATGGTTTCACAAGTAACTAACTTCGGTTTATTAATGCACGTTCGTGGTTAATAGACTTAAGAGTGATTAATTTTGTTGGTTAAACCCAAACCGTTGTGTTGAGGTTATGAATCTCAATTGATTTCATCAAGGAGTTAACAAGATTAAATACTACTATTAAATCGGTATACGGCGTTGTTCTATATTTGATTAATAGTAAGGGTTGTTAATAACCGTCGTTGTTAATAACTACCCTCGATGAATTGGATATATACTCTTCGATTGAGTATTCGAGAGGGGATACGTTATAGATATAACAAGGATCGACTAAATATATCAACAACTGGAAAGTATCAAAGTCAAGTTCTTTTTATCTTTGAATTAAATCACATATAAGTTGTTCATCTTAGTTTCTTACTAAATTAAATCATTCAACCCCAAAACCCCCCTTTAATTACCAGTTTCATTTAAAAAGAGAATTATTCTTTTCCCTGTGGATACGAACTCTACTACACTATACAACATATAAGTGTTAAGTATTGAATTTATTTTGACGTACTATGACAAAGTGCTCGTCATTCCATCTTTTTAATTAATGACTGATCGAGTATATCTAGAGAGAAGTGAGAGCTAGAGAGAGAAGTGCAATAATATGCTTCAATAGAATGAATTTGTAACCCCTATAACTACTCCCAAGGGGAGTATTTATAGAGAAAATTAGGGTTGGGCTCCCAAGCCTTGGGCTTGGGAGGCCCATTTACAACTGGACCGCTACTGGGCCGAATACAAAGCCACTAATGGGCTGTACAAATGAGTAAGTATAAAATCCGATTCTGTGAGGTCTTCGTGGCCGACGAGGGCGTGGCCGACGAGGGCACGGCCGACGAGGGCACCCGGGTTCCTTGGACTCAGGACCATAATCCGAGTTGGCCCCTTTTCGGCCGACGGGGGCGTCCTGGCCGACGAGGGCGCCACTCTGTGCCTTGTGCTTTCTGTTCTTCCAAGTATGTGGGTCCGGGGGCTCAGACCCATATACTCCATCAGGAGTCCCCCACTCTCTAAACTGAGACGTAGACGAAGTGAAGGAGAGTAGATTCCTATGCTTTGGTGCCCTTGGCCGTTATCTGTTCCTTGTTGTGGACAGGGGGGCCGTTGTTTACTTGATGTCATTGTTTTTGGACGATGAGTGTCCTTCTTTCAATGGTGGCCGTTGAAAGGCACGTTTTGCTTGGGCGTTGATGGTTGAAGTTTGTGTTCGGGCCGATGAGGCCACTGAAGTTATTCCTTGCTTTGAGGACGATGGCGTCCTTTCCTTTGGGTGGCCGATGAGGGTGTTTGCGCACTCCTTTTGGCCGTTGCTGGTTGGCCTTCGTGTTCTTGGCCGAAGGGCACGTCATGATTAATTGTTGGCGGAGGACGATGAGTGTCCTTGCCTCTAGTGGCTTGTTGGCCGTCGCTAATGACGTTATGGGCCTTTGGCCGATGAAGCTCCGTTGTGTTGTATGGATGATGTGGCCATGCTTTGTGGTCACATTCATGTTCTTTGTAGTGTTTCCTTTTTGTTTTGCTGAGGCCGGTGTAGTCCCCCACTGCTTCAGGCCGAGGAGTGTGAGGGGTGAAGGAGTTGCTTGAGTCCCTGGCCGAAGCGGCCTCTCCGTAGTCCCCCTGAATCCAACTCTCATGGCGATTTTCTGGCCAAGGTAACCCTGTGGGAGAACCCTTGTGCGCAGATCGCTTGTAGAGAGTTATCATCAAAGATCATGACGAGGAGCCGATGGCTTGTGGGCTCTTGGGTCCTTTGATCTTGTGGCCGTTACGTTTCTGGCCGTTGCCGTCTCCTTATTGTTTGGCAGTTGTGATCTTGGCGAGCAAGTGGGACGTTGTGGGCGCTTGCTGACATTTGTAAAGCCAGTTAGCGTGTGTAGGCCGTAGAGTCCGTCCTGCCAGTGGGCTGTTGATATTGAGTTTGGCCCGTTGGTGACGTGGTGGCCCCCCATTGGTGGCCGTTGGTGTGGCCATTGGGGGGGTGCCACGTGTAGTGACCGTTGGGTAGGGGGTTCTATAAATACCCTCCCCCTCCGACGAGAAAACGTATTTGCATTCTGAATTTGTCGAAGTGCTCGCCGATTTTCTAGAGAGATAAACTCCCAAGCCTGTTCTTCGTGTTCTTCGTTGTTCAAGGTTAGTGTTCATCGCGATCTTCCTCACTTTTCATACTTTGCTTCCTAGGTTGTTGATCTAGTGTTAGGCGTTTGAACACCCTTAGATCTTAAGTTAGTCTCCTTAGGCCCGTAGTAGTAGTTATGAAGAGCTTGAACGAAGACTACTACCCCTACGACGACCAGCCCTCCACGAGGTCGCTTGACTACGAGGTGCTCGAGGAGTTCGAAGAGGAGATAGAGCGTTTAAGTCCCTACAAATCCGGAGAGCCGGTGGACGAGGAAGGCGAGGATGAGGAGTTCGCCTCCTCTTCAAAGGGTGAGGACGTAGGTGCGTCCCGAGTGGTGGACGGGGCGTCCACTTCTGCTGTCATTCCGTGCCCGAGGCCGGTGTCTGCCGTGAAGGGAGCAGCTAAACCGAAGAGGGTGAGGAAGCCGAAGAATGGGTCGGGCCTCTCCTATCTGGACCTCACCAACATATTCCTGATCAAGCCGGAGAGCAGTGCGGCCGACTATCTTGTTGCCCAGATGTATGTGGGGCCGTTCAGGCAGGTTAGGGCACCCAGGCCGACGGACCATGTTCTACTTCCGCCACCGGGATACTTTGGAGTATACCCGATGAGTTTTGCTAAGGGGTTGAGGTTCCCCCTTCACCCTTTCATCATTGAGTATCTGGACATGGTGGGGCTTCCTCCGGCCTTGCTGACGCCGAACAGTTATTCCTTGATGGTGGGCTTTTTACTCCGGTGTGAGGAGCTGGGCTACAGGCCGACAACGGCCCTATTCATGAATTTGTACCAGATCGGCCGAGGAAGCCACAAGAACTGTGCGGCCTATGCTACTCTTCAACAGCTGCCGAAGAAGAGGAGCTTCACGGATTTGCCTACGTCCATTCATGGGTGGAAGAGCAAGTTCGTGTTTGTGTCCATTGGTGAGAGTGGCACCGAGTTCCCCTCTCCCAGCCATACCGGGAGGTTCAATCTCCATGACCCGCCGAAGAGCTCTATCTTGGATGCTCAGGTGGCGGCTTTCCTGGAAGGGGGGCCGAGGAGCGTGAAGGATTACGTTACTGAATATAAAATGACCGCCCTCGGCTTCTTCAGATACCACCTGTATGGCGATAAGGAGGATGACCTCCAACTCTGGCCGAGGATGACCACCACATTTGAAGAGGCCGACGGCCCGGATTTGGGCATTCCTGCTGAGGCCGATGGTAATTATTTCTTCGGCTTTCTGTTTTTATGTTTTTGTCCTTTGCCTTACTAATCTGTTGTGTTTTTCCTTTGTAGATTTTGCCATGGACCGTCGTT